AATGCTGCAGAAAATCAATTTCACAATTTCATTACGGGGCCCCTAGTACCCAAAAAGTAATTTTTTCAAATCATTCTAAACCAATAGCCCCTCTCTAAGGTTTGATACATAATTCTTTCAATTTTAGGGGGGGAGTACTTTACATTAAGCCCAGGAATATTTTCAAACTTTTCTCAAAAACGGCTCCAAATGTTTTGTAAGAATTGAGTAAAATGTACTTAAAGAAATGGCATAGGTCCAATTTTCATTGATAACACTAAATTTCACATAGGTTTCAGTTGTTTTGGCATCTTTCTAAACCAACAATATTGAAAATAGTTGTTTTTTCTTATGAAGTGAGTTCACAATTAAATCTTTAATTAATGTCATATATATTTTTAAAACTTTAGTTGTTTTCCTGTACCTTTGAGTGACACATGGGCAATATTAAAAAATATTAAAAACAAAATTTTCTCAAAAATTGCTCCAAACCGTTCTTCAAACTTTTTGAATGAATAAGGCACAGAGCACTGTAATAACTTCAATTTTGCTATAATATTCTTTAGATTTTTCACTAATTTACACAAACGTGAATATAACCACATATTAATTATAATCTTAAAGAATGCAAACAGTAGTTAAGTCAAAATAAAAGACAATAGTTAATACTTTTAAACTGAATATTTCTTCCATGTTTCAATATATCATTCTCATCAACTTTTCATAAAATCATATGCACTGAATTTAATACTTAGCTCTCTAGTACTCAAACAAATTATAAAATACACCTACATATTCTTTCATTTGCAATTGAAGTCGTTCACATTTTTGCTGCTCACTAGCAAGTAGTGCTGCTAATTCTTGATTCCTTCTTTCCATTTCCCTAGTAGGGGGCACAGATGTTGGTGCAGAAGTTACTACAGATTCATCAATAAGGCCACTTAATTCAAGAGACAATTGTCTCAAACTTTCAGCACTTGATGCAAAATTTGAAGGAAGAACACTGGGTGCTGAACTTAAATTGCTGATTTCCTCTGTTACTTCAGGTTTCACATTATTTTCTTTTGTATCTGTTTGTGAAACTGAATGGAAAGATTTTTTCTCTGAATTATCAGTAATATCTGAAACATTTTTTTGCTCCGCTGATTCTGGTATTGCTAATTCATCTGACATGTGATCTGTGGCTGCTTGAACCTCATCGAAGGGTGGAGATTTCACTATGGTTTGTGTATCTACCGACAAATCAGCAGATACATTGGTTCTATTCATAGGTAGAAAAACATTTTCACGGTCAGAACCACTCTGAATATTGTCAAAAAATTCACTATAACTATTAGCACCCGATGAGAAATTGCTGGAGAAAATATTGGCTGACACAGGTACAGTTCCTTGTGTAGCAAGGGACTGTGCAGACATTAAAGGCGGCACGTCATTGGTGACAAATGAACCCACAGAATGATCAGTGGAGATAATCTGTGTTTGCGTTTCTGAATTTTCATTATGCAGTTTTTCAGAAACTTTTGAATAAATAGGAGAGACAGGTTGTTTCTCCAATTCTGCAACTGGGGATGGCACCTTGGGATGTTCAATCTGAAATGAAATATATTTAATTATGAATTTTCATACAGATATTTATGAATTGAACTACAGAAATTCAATGTTAAAAATGTTTTACTTGCCCCGTTTTTCTGGGGTTCGGAGAAACCAGTAAAAAGACTGTACGACTCGCCATTACGGTGATCTGATGAATCTTGCTTATTTCGGGTAGATTTCGTCGAATTAGATGTTTTATGTTGTTGGTATTTCTTAAGCTGGTCATAAAACATAGCAAATTAGATACCAGAAAAATAAAAACGCTGGTCGCAATCTGCCACGTCAGTTTTGACAACACATGCCACCACAGCAATTCCTATGCCTGATCATCAACAGCGGTGTTCCGTTGTAAATGAATTTCAAAATGGAACTTCATTTAACTTCAAAGTTACTTACCTTCCTCCATCCCGCCGCACGTTTTTCATCTTGACTCATATCTGCCATATTGCACGCACTGATTTGTAATACTTTCACTCCATTACTTTCTACGTCTACGCCAACGAGATGGGACATCGGCATGCCCCTCCAGCTGACTGTTGACAATTGAAGCACGTGCGAAGTGCGTTGATTTCAATTGTTTTTAAGTTTGGTACGGGATTAGAAAAGCTAAGTTTCCTGGTTTCCTTCCAGGGAAACTGAGTTGTTTCTAGTATATACTTATTTCACATATAATGTGAGATTAATGAACCTGTCGCGAAGATATTGATAGAACAAAGTAGATAACATATTGTTCATTCTGACAAATTTGCATTTGGTATCAAAACATCTTTAGTAATTGCATTTCTAGGTATGTATTTCGTTCAAGCATAATTAACAATATACAAAAGTCAATATAGAGAAAAATATTTTTTGATTACGAATATTTTCATTGGATCCGATATGTTACTTGTATAGGTACTATGTTTGTATATGTACTGTGTTTATTTTAATAGACCGGGGTTTCTTCATTGAGGTTATGGCTCAGTAACATCGTACATGCACTATTAAAATAAATATATACACATTGTTGATACATAAGCAGAGTGCCGACATGATTACATGATCTTTATTTTTAAAGGATAATGGAACATGTTGATTCCCACGAAAACGAACAGAACGAAGATCCATTCTACAAACATGCTGCAGAGTATTGGTCTGGAATTCCAGCCACAGTTGATGGCATGCTTGGGGGGTTTGGGTTCATTTCAAATACTGACATTCAAGGTTCTCAGGCATTTCTCAAGCAGTTATTTAAGGTAGTTATTTCGTAGGAGTCTTACGAAATGCAGATAGATTTATGCAGTTATTAAATATCTATTTTGGTGTGTTATTCTAGATGAACGGACCACCTGGGAGAGGACATGCCTTAGATTGTGGTGCAGGGATTGGGAGAATAACAAAACATCTCCTTATTCCAAACTTCGACCAAGTTGATCTTGTAGAACAAGATCCTAAATTTATTAGTGAAGCAAAAAAATACATAGGCCCAACTAAGAAAATTGGTCAACTTTTTAATCAAGGTATATTCCTGTTCTGTTAATTAATTCTAAGGAGTTCTTAATGTTCAGTTATTGTAATTTTGAAAATCTAGGTCTTCAAAGTTTTGATCCTGTTCCTGGGACGTATGATATTATTTGGTGCCAATGGGTTTTGGGCCATTTAACAGATAAAGATTTTGTGACATTCTTCAGTGGATGCGCGTAAGTGAGGCCAGAAGATATTTCATTACTGTACAAAACTAACTTGTTATATTTGTTTAAATTTTTAATTTATATTTCCAGGAAGGGTTTAAAGCCAAATGGGATTATAGTTGTGAAAGAAAATGTTACATCTTCTGATAGTATTGAAGTTGATGAACAAGATTCTTCTGTTACAAGACCACTTAATCTGCTACATCAGTTATTTCAACAATCAAGATTACAGTGCATAAAAGAAGCTAAACAAAATAACTTTCCTCGTGGTTTATATTCAGTTAAGATGTTTGCTTTAAAACCAGTTTGACACATGGAATTAGCTGAGGCTCAAATGTTTCCAGGTTTTAAGTGAGAACAATGTCAGTTCTAATATATTTATGTAAGAGAAATTTACGTTAAGATCTCGAAAAGAGGCAATTTTTTTAATAAGTGTAAACTAATGTTACTTAACATTACAAAATAATCATGAATTGGTTGTCAGAGAGGAATAAACTGTTTCAGAAAATATTAAGTGAGCGAGTGTTGTGAATTACCAATTGATATGGCCATAAAGTAAATAATAAAATTAAGTTGAATTCATTACAGATTTAGTATAAATTTTTGGAAGTTTTGGCCTAAACATTGAATATTATAAAGTAAGTATTTCCCATTCTTTTTCTACTAAAAAGTAATTATTTATCAAATAAAACCAACTTAAAAGTTAACAGAACTGTGTGTAATACTTCATAATTGATAAATAATGCAAGGTTTCAGGCAAGATCAAGCTAAAGTTTTATTTCCATAACCTTGTAATTTAGATTTATATAAATTACAGTTATTACTAAAATAAAAAGAACTTTGTAAGTCAGCTCTTAATTCCTTCAGTCCGTCCTGTCTCAGAAAACATTTCAACAGTTTTAGGAAACAATAACTGACGATGCACACACGTTCATCCTCCTTCATTGGGGCTGCAAGCTAAATCTTATCCCGTCAATAGGGACAAAGGTTTACAATTTTCTCATTGATTTTACTACCTTCCAATCATTCTTTTAACTTTCTAATCCCATCAACACTGCCAGTAGTTTGATCAGCTAGCTCTCTTAATTACATAGCACCAAGGCAGAGCCAAATAAAGAAGAAAAGAAACTGATAGTTAAATAAAAATTTTTTTGACATGCTGAAGGAAAAAATGCAATTTTTCCCCAAAAATCTTGTTTTCTGGTTGCCTGGCATCAAACAAATTGTATTGCTCCTATGTATAGTAAAATTTTCTACACTTTCTTAAATACAGTGTATAAGCAGAAAGCTCATTCTATGGATCCAAACAGGTGTTTGATAACCCACCTGTCTAAATAACACGTAACACCCAACATTGATAATCCCTGCATGATCTGCAAGATCTCACAACCCTTTGAAATTGAAATATTTCAATCCTTAGGATTATTTGACACGAATCCTATTGACCACTTCCTAAATTTTCTCAAAATCTACCCCTTTTTAAAAAAAAATTGCTTTGAGAGAGCAATGTATGCCCGTAAAAACAACACATCCCACTTTTTGGTAATTGTTGACTTCCTGGGCACAAATAATTGTACCAATATCGCGATAACGCTTTTTAGAGCTTCATTTAGACCTCTAGATTTGTAATATGTATATTAAAAACAATTTTTCTAACTCTGCCCTTAACGGTCCTATAGAACGATAGATGTCATTGTTTAATCGTGCACTTGACGTAAATCAGCTGTTGCGGTTTCATCCAATGGGGGGCTATACTGATGTCACTAGGAACGTTCAAGCCTAAATTTTGGGGGAAAATTCTTGATTTGATGAAATCGGGAACGGTTGATATACGTCAAGTGTATGGTTAATAAATCCTAGTGTAGATACTATTTCCTTCGTTTTTAAACTCGTTTGAATGTTCCATATTATTTATATCATTGTGGCCGATACGTCACG